GGACTGGACTACCCTGATACACTGGCTGACTCTGGGAGTCCATGGGTGGACCATGCGTACCTGTCTGCGAAGGGAAAAATGGCACATCCTGATGCTGAAGAGGACCGTAATAAATGAGTTGAGAATCAAATGTCTGCCCCATCAGGGGCTGAAGTATCCAGACATATCTATGTGTGGCCTAGGGGCATGTATAGGCTCCGGAAGTGGTGCCACTGGCTCTCGACGGCGTCCAAGCCCTCGTCCCTCCTGTCTATGTGAAGGAATATCAAGAGATATCTGAGGCTCATCCTGTGTCTGGGCCGGGGGAGCTTGTGATCCTGGCTCCTCCACCCTGGACGACTCTCTGAATACAAAAATTAAGCGTCCAATCTCCTCATGAACCCATTCTAAACCGAAGGACTCAAAATGCTCAGGAGTAGTCGCGAAGTATAGCATCTCCAGACCATCAATCTACTATAAAAATAAATAATTGCAAGTAAATGTTGAAATTTAACAAGACAGTGTCAATAAATGCAAAAAATAAGCAAGTAGGATCCTGTAGAAAACATACACTACGTCCAATCTTCGCCGCCCTCCTAGATACATAATGCTTGCCTCGTAGCCGATACCAATCCATATACTTGTGGTTTGGTGACATCAGCCTTGCCAATGGGGGAGACAGCTGACCTATGTGTTCAACCCTTATCTGCCATCTATGTATAAATGGTCTGAGCTTAACTTGCCAGTTATCAGGCCATGTACCTCAAAGCGTGTGATCATGAACCCCTTTGAGCTTTCTAGGCCTCAAAGGGATCGGCTGGTCCAAACCAAACTGTCTCAAGCATCTATCTAGTTGGCACTGCTCAACCGTATGAAAACATATGATCGGTGTCCTAGCCAACCAAAGATATCGCCCATCTGCAGGTATGTCCAAGAAATGATAGTCTTCGTACGGCTGCCAAACAACCGACAAAAAATATGATGAATTTCCATAACGTATTAATTTGGCAGCAAGAGAAAATAATAATCATAATTTCTCCAAAAAAATATAACATACCTCGTCCCTAGTCAACGTGTCTAGAGTCCCCTGATATAGAAGCTGATGTTGTGGTTTAAAGCGGGCTAAACCATTAAACCTGTTAGGCAAGATGAAAATATGCAAGATTATTAATAATTTGTTACAGATAAATTACAGTATCATTCTTAAACAAATGACACATACCGGTGCCCGAAGTGCCACTCTGGGTGAGTAGGCTGAGGAAGAGAAGGAGCAATAGGAGGAAATCTGGTCCACGCCCATATCTGGAGCAGTATATGACATCCACCCATGTCTGATCTGCGCGGGTCAAGAAGCTCGCATAATTGTCTAAACAAATGTGCGAGAACAGCAGATCCCCAACTGTATTGTCCAATGTCATCAAAACCTCCTGCAAGCAACGCAATGTAGCGACATCCGACGACGCTACCTCCAGATTTGTCACATAGAAGCCATGATCCCAACATACGCGCAATGTGTGCCTTAGTAAAAAATATAACCTGTTGTGGGTCCGCAGAAGCTGCAGCCCAATGCGCATAATGTCTGTCTAAATACGCGAGCTTAACATCCCCGTACGACTGTTCTAAAATGAGCGGGGCGTGACCAAGCACCTCTCCGCATAGGATTCGCCAGTTGGTGGATGTAGCACCCGTAACCACTTTCCCATCAGTCGGCAATCCCAATATAGCCGCAACATCCTGCAACGCAATGGTCATCTCGCCCTGCGTCATGTGGAACGTATGTGTCTCTGGTCTCCACCTCTCCACCAGAGCACTGATCAGCATGGGATCAATCTGAAATAATAGCAGACATTTATTATCAAAATAAACTTGCTTAAGCATACACTTAGTTTATAACATTTATTATTAAATTAAAACTCACATGACCGGTACTTTCTTATATGCGTACCTGAATATGCCGCATGCGGGCGACATATAGGAAGCCAGCCTGCTGCAGGTAGTCTGCCACGACACCAAGAATAGCATCAAGAGATGGACCCCCCTTGACAACACTGTGTCGAGTCTTGCACTTGCGACACTTCTCCTCGTTCCACACAACCTGTGAAACGTGTGTGCGCTGCGTGCGCCTCCTAAGTACGTCCCACCTGTATGGTCCTGGAAGCACATGGGTCCTGGGATCTGAAGGCTCGGCCTGAGTCTCAGTATCGGATGTAGACCGAGTTGACTCCGACGATGACGAGTCAGCCATAATAGTGTACTATACACAATAATAAATTAATTGGTTTCATTAATATATTCAAAAGTCATTACATTAATTACATGTGTTACAAAAATTAACTAATTACATGTGTTACAAAAAATATTAATTTACATGTGTAAAAAAAATTTAATTACTTGTGTAACAAAAAATATTAAATTACATTTGTTACAAAAAAATGGCAATTTACATGTGTTAACAAAAATATTAAATTACATTACCTACGAAAAAGATTCAGTTAAATGTGTACAATATTCCTATGTCACTAATATATTTCACAATCACTATTGTATTTCACAATCACTATTGTATTTCTAAGTTACTATTATATTCCTAGGGTTTAAGACACTACTTTAACATATTCCTAGATCACTATAATAACAATTATATGCGCAACACCTTAAATTACTATTATAACATGTATCATCTTATAAATAACAATTTGATAAAATAAATATGAAGACTTACTTGTTCGACAGGGCTTTGCGCGCAAAATGCTCCACAAATAATCTAGAGAGAAGGCAGAGCAACTTTAGAGAGAAGTTAGAGAGAAGGTGTGAGATGGAAAAGTGGAAATTTTGGGGGTTTTATAGGAAATTCACGCCTGGATTGGGCGTGAATTGTCACGCCTCCTTTGGGCGTGAATGACTGCAATAGATTCGAAATTAGTTTCCATACTGCAACCTATTCGTAATTAATTATTAAAAGTGTAATATTTAAATTTTTTTGCCCCGAACTAAAAAATCGATAATCAAAAATTAAAAAATCAAAAGCCGAAAATAAACCCCGCATATTTTAATTGGATTGGATCGATTTTCGGTTGGTTGGTGAAAACCAATCCAATGTGTTATGTATTTATTGTTTTTGAAAGATGGTGACTACTGACTTGTAATTTTGTTGTTTTGTAAACTTGGATCTTGAATGCTATTGATAGCAAACTATCTCCTTTTTTTTTTCTGTTATCTGTTATTCTATTTTCTTTTCACTCTTCATGAGTTTGAAGACTTATTTTAATTTGAAGACTTGAATTTTGCAGTAGTTTATAATTTTGTATGGCTTTATTTTGATATAACTAGTGATTTGTATGGCTAAAATTTTAGGCTTTTCGAAAAATTAAAAACAGATCCAATCCAAACCGAATAAAATTGGATTAGATTGGATGAAATTCAAAAAATAATTTCAAACTGAATAGATGGTTAAATGATCAAAATAAAGGGATTAGACCGTATAATTTTTGCTTCAAAATCGATCTAATTCAGACCGCGAACATCCTTACTATGAGTGTATAACATAAGATATTTTTCTTATATAACATGTGACTTATATTTCGCTAAAAAAATTATCTTTAACATGATTTAATTTTGGGTTTTAGTAATCTCATGTTGTAGGAGAGTGTTATCTTCTACCATAGACACAATTATGGATGTGGCCCACTCACTTATAAAAAATAAAAAATTATAAATTAAACTACACGGAAATCAATGGGTGTGTAAGAAAAAAATGTTATCTTATGTTGCATAAGAATAATATTTCCCTTTAATTTTCGTTAAAATGTAGTTAGTTTATGCCCAAACCACTGCAGAAGATAACGTTTTTTTTAGTTAAAAAGTTTGTATCCTCTTCGTAATCTCTAGAGTTTGTTCTTTCCCTTTTGGATTTTGCTTTAGCTGAAGTATCTTTCTGATTAACAAAGAAAAACAGGGTTACAAGACAGAATAAAGAATCGTAATCTTCATCGTGATATACACCAATCTTCAACTCAACCACATAAATAGATTAAAGGTTTAAAAGTGAGAAAACCATGGGGAAAATTAAAGAGCGAAAAAAGCCAAAGAATACACGTCGCAGTCCTCATGTATGCATCACCTCGTTTTCTTTTAGTTATAAGACAAAATAAATATTCCGAAATAGGAGTAAAAAATATTTGTTCTTTTAAATTAAAATAATATTAGTTACTTTCTTCTCGTATCTTTTTTTCTTACTTGAAAAGACACAATTTTGTTATCAAAAAAAAAAAAAAGACACAATTTTATGTCATTAAAAGTACAAATACTAAACCCGAAATAGAAAATATAAAATAAAAGAAAAAGAACAATTGGACTGAAAAATGGATATTGTTTAATTTGTTTCATACTTCAAAATATAGTTATAGAATTTGGGTTAGAGTCCTAAAGTTCGATAATGATCCAACAGTTTGATCTGAAAAGCTTAATCAGGTAATTTTTGTTTTCAAAATACAAAATTGTTAAGTTTTCAAATTAATCAGATAATTGGATTAGCCCTCCTTTTTTTGAATCCAATTCCAGAAACTCAGGTAATCGAATCTGTTCTGATTTTACACTTATGCTCCACAGTTTTTTTTTTTTATTTTTTTAAGTATTTTTCATATTACAAGAGATAATTTTATTTTTTACATATATATATGGAGTCTATATTTTTTTTTCTCTTATTTTTATATGGCCTCACATAACCATTTTTATGTGAGTGAGAGATAAACTTATCTCCAATAATATAAGGAAAAATATTTCTCCGATCACTTATAAAGTTATCTCCGGTGAGCTCAAAACGACATCGTTTTGAATAAAAAAATTATAATGATAAAGACTAATATAACCTTGCAATATATTAGAATGATGAAGAAATATTTTACCCATAATATAATATAAAAAATATTAATCTCATATTATCATTAATAAACATAAATTTCGTATAAAGAAATCTTATAATAGTAATATTCCGAGGGCAAATCAACACACTGGAAAGTGTAAACAACAAATAGCAACGCCTACGACGAATTTCTTTCTCCGTCATTTTCATTATTCACAGGGAAGAAGAAGAAGAAGAAGAAAGAGGAGATAAAACCAAAAAAGAAAAAAGAAAAAAAAGGGGAGAGAGAGAGAGAGAGAAGGAAAATTGAAGATTGAATCTCATCGATATCACTTATGTTGAACAGGGATGAGTAACAGAAATTGTAGTGTGGGTTGAAATGGACGACGACGTTTCATCCTGCGTGTGAAGTGGTTGGCATACTCTTGGATCGGTTGGTTTCGCATTGATTTCCGATTTTCTGAAACAAACGAAAATGAACGGAGGTAGTGGCGGCGTCGGAATCGGACCGCCGGCGCCGGCGGTGCCACAGCCGCTCGAGTGGAATTTCTCCCAAGTGTTCGGTGAAAGGACGGCCGGCGAAGAAGTTCAGGAAGGTATGCTATTCCCCCTATTGCTACCCCTATTCTGATCACAATTCATACGCTGTTTGTTTTTTCCATTGCGAACTCGTATCGTGTAACTATGCATATACCGTTCTATACGCCGTTTCAGCACTTTCAGCTTTATATTTTGTTGTTTTTTCTAGAGATTGGACTTGAGACTTTGGAGCTTAAATTGTTTTGTTTAACAGTTACTTTGTTAGGTTCGTTAATTCATGCTGAAATTGGCTAATTCTCTCTCTTAAATTGGGTCTTCAGTTTTATAGGATAGGGTGATTGCTTATTCATTTGTAGGAGCTTGAGTTAGGTTTATTTGGTTGCGGGTTGGACTCGTTCCATCGTGATGATTCTGTGCTCTTGTGTGCTGGGTACCATTCATCGAGTGGAAAAAGATACTGGTGGGTGGGTGACTTTGTATGTGGGTGGGTTTCAAAGCACTTGCATATATTGCTTTTGCTTAGGCATAAACTGAACGGACTTTGAAATATTTCAACTGTGTTGTTTTTATTATTGTGTTTTGCAAAAAGAGTAATTCCCAATCTCCGATAACACATAGTTACTGTGTTTCTTTCTAAAATGGTAGGAGTTATTGAAAATTTAATATTATTTTGATCGTTCATCTGCTTGCTACAAACTTGGTCCGTTTTGAACAGTGTTTGGGGGCAGATTTAGTGGGAAGAAGTGAAAGAAAAGGAACCGAGAAAGTTTACCACAAAAAAAAAATTGAAAAGGAAGAAACATTGAGTGGGTGTCAAGGAAAATTGATGACCTATTTAATCTAAGATTTGAAGTTGGTTTGGTCATCGTACTTATTAATGTTTACTGGGTAAAATAGCTTGATTACAATTCACAGTTGTTCCCAGTATATGATGTTCCATGATTTTCATGAATTTATCAAATTCTATATTTCAATATTTCGTGCTATCAGTTGTAAAATATAATCCCTACTTTGTACATTAAATTGCTATTATTTGGCCTTGATGGTTGCCCTGTTTCATGGTGTTCGCAGATATTTTGATCTGCCGTCATATTTGTAGGTTCCTTAGTTGTAAATAGTTTTGATAAATGTTGAGGGTTGTAATCACTACTTCACCTCGCATTGCATGCAGATAATAACTACTGCTGATGTGGAGAAGTCCATCAACAATAGAGTCAATATTTAGTTTACATTATGAGCGTGTTTGTGCTATTGCAGTGTCAGCTCATCTGTCCCCTGTGTGTGCAGTTGATATCATATCTGCAATCGAATTTGACAGAACTGGGAACCACCTTGCTACTGGAGATCGTGGTGGTCGAGTTGTTTTATTTGAAAGAACAGATACAACAGATGTAAGTCATTTAACTGCTTCTCGTTATATTGCCCCCCTCCCCCTCCCCCTCCCCCTCCCCCTCCCCCTTTGAGTAAAAGCTTTAAACCACATAGTGGGGAAAGGATTTTGTTGTTGTTTGTTTTACCTAGCGTTACCATATGGTTATTCATATTATGAAAATCATCTAGCACGGGGGAGACCGGAAAGATTTAGAGCAGATGGATTATTCGACCAATCGACATCCCGAGTTTCGTTACAAAACTGAGTTTCAGAGCCATGAACCAGAGGTATCATCTTTCTCCAGTACACTGATTATTGTTTGTTGTACAGATTCATCTTACTTTGAACTGCAATCTTGATCTCAACTAATTTTTCCATCTATTTGTGTTTTTGAATTCAGTTTGACTATCTTAAGAGTTTAGAAATCGAGGAGAAAATCAATAAAATCAGATGGAACCAGACAGCCAACGGGGCGCTCTTTCTTCTCTCTACAAATGACAAAACCATTAAATTTTGGAAGGTGGTTTGGTTGCTTTACAAATTATTAAATTTTTAAAACTGCAATTTTCTCGGTGAACTTCTCCTTGATACTTTAATTGCCTTGATGAGTTTTTAACTGACAAAGATTATCTTTGTATTTCTAAACATAATAGGCTGCATTACTTTTATTATATTTGCTGTATGGTATGAGGTAGTCAACTTCAAAATTTAGAAGATATTCCTGAGGTAGTCATATACATGGAAGATTAGACATCATCTAAAGAGTTGGTTATGAATCTTTTGATGCTTTTACATAATCTCATGCCTTGTTATATAATTATTATGATAATGTATAGTTGTGATAATAAAATTATTATTTTCAGCACTAATCAGCAGTCATTGATATTTGTCACGTACTCTGGTTCAAATTTAGCCATCTTCATGAAATTTTGTCATACTGTACTATTACCCTCTTTCTTTTGTGTGTGTGTGTGTTTTTTTTTTTTTTTTTGGGGGGGGGGTGAGGATTGTTTTATCCATGTTGCCATTGCTTGCATGTTGGATGATGAATTCATGAAAATCTAGAAAACTATTTGTTCTTTGCAAAACATAACAAATTTAGGATAAAGGCATTTATTACAACTGATAACAACCGAAAGAGTTTTTGATAAAATCTTATCCTGCTTGTTGGATAACACTAGTTTTGTTATTTGCTTGGTGTCTGAGAAACTAGGACTCCTAGACATGCCTTTGGTGGTCCCACTTAGGTTTATAGTTCTGTTTTAATTGTTGGTTAGCCTTAACCACACCTAGGGTGATTGACTTATGATCTTATTAATGGGTTATCCAGTCAGAGGTTTATCCCAATCCTATTATTTGACAGACAAATGTTATGATATAGTTGTTTTATATGTTTATAAAGTGTAATAATTATTAGATACCATGTAGAATAGATATTTGATTCTGATGACCTAGAAAAGGTGCACCTGGGAAAAGTTTCATAAAGTATCATTATATTAGAAAGTTTTTATTGATGGACATTTTTTATACTGTAATGGTCATTTTCTCACTGTTTCCGTGGTGGGACAGGTCCAAGACAAGAAGGTGAAGAAAGTGTGTCACATGGATGCCACTAAATCTCATGCTATGGGAAATGGTCTCCTTGTTGATTCAAGTACATCCAACAGTTATAAGCCCTATACGGCGAATGGGAGTGTTCAGTCCCTACACTTTCCTGTTGTGGTAGTACCTGTTCCAATGCTAATTCTGGCATGATGTTACTTTGGAACTTAGATTTGAAAATTTATATGTTCTGAACTTAGTTGTTGGATCGTGGAATTGTGCTTTTTTGGAATTAAGTTGGTATTTCTTCTAAAAGTTATAAGCTGTAGGAAAGCAATCCGTCTGACATGTATATGGTGTTTAACTGACATCTTTTCATGACTAAATGTTGCAAAATCAGGTGACCAGTCATGAGACAAACCCTGTGGCAAGATGTCGAAGAATCTATGCTCATGCCCATGACTATCATATCAATTCTATCTCAAACAATAGGTTAATGTTCTTAATGACATCTTTGTTGTATCTTTCTAGTTTGTCTAAAATTCCTTCATTTTTCTTTCTTTAGTGAATTTATAGTTCTAGTTTCTTTCCGTTTATTTCATTGAAGTGGGAAAATTTGCTATGCATGCAGTTGACAAATTCCTTACATGGATGTGAATCATAGAGCAATGTGATTTTTTGGCTGTTTCAGTTAGTTTAAAGTCTTTCTGCCCATTTGTTTAATGTTGCTGCATACTTCAATATCTAGGAAGCATGGTTTTTCCTTGTTAAAAATGACCACTTATCTATCCCTATTTATTTCTCCCCCTTTTTTGTTTTGTAGTGATGGTGAAACTTTTATATCAGCAGATGACCTTCGAATAAATCTTTGGAACCTAGAAATTAGCAATCAAAGTTTTAATATCGTTGACGTCAAGCCTGCAAACATGGAGGATCTAACTGGTAGAATTTACAGTGGTCTGAATAGCATTCTTTTGTTTAAATGAGTGTTCAATTGTTTATTATTTTAAACTGTTTTTTGGAAACTCTTTTTGTAAAATATTTCTGAACAGTATAGAGACGCACTCTGTCTGTTGTTTCTGCTTTCTTTGTTATCTAGTCTATATTAATGTACTTTTGCTTTTATCTTTTTGGATTTATACTGGGGGAGTTTGGTGAGGAACAAGCCAACACAATTATCAATATTTGTATCATTTTCTATAATGATATTACTAGTTGTTGTTCAGTGGAGTCAATTCGGTACTTGGTGCGTTTTTGGTAAAGCCTAATTTTCGGGAATAACATCTCTCCTTTTTTTCAAAAGCTCTATCCGTAAATTTTTTTATATGCTATTTTGAACACAAAATAAGGTAATTCAAATACACACTTAAGTTTGTGATTTTTGTGTAAACGACTTGATAGATGTGCTCATTTTTTTATTTATTTTTATTTGATATGTTCAGAGGTGATCACTTCAGCAGAATTTCATCCTACTCATTGCAGCACGCTTGCATACAGTAGCTCTAAAGGTTCTATCCGTCTTATCGATATGCGGCAGTCAGCTTTATGTGATACTCATAGCAAATTGTAAAATTCTTTATTTCTTTTTTTGTTTATTCTTTTGCCCCCTTTATTCTGTGTATTTCTGTTAGTATTTACATGCACATGTGCCCATATGGGCCGCATGTTTTATGCTTACTACTTTTTATTCTTACAGATTTGAGGAACATGAGGCACCTGTTTCAAAATCTTTTTTCACTGAAATAATTGCGTCAATCTCTGATATCAAGTTTTCGAAGGATGGAAGACATATACTTAGTCGTGACTACATGACTCTTAAGGTTGATTTCTTTATGACTGTTGCTTTGATTTAGTTTTCTATCATAATTCAAGAGGATATGTCTTAAATGTAGATGAGAGAATGTAACCAACCAAATTTAAATAAGACTGGCTTCTTATCAGCTGGCTTTTGTGACTCAAATAGATGTCGTATGTTCATTATTAGCTGAATTTTTCTTTTACAAAGTCATTTTGGTCCAAATCTATGTATTGGTCTTTACTAATTATTGGCAAACTCTAATATCATCTGAACAGTAGCATGCACAAGTCATATTGTACGAATATTGCAACTTCTACAGGAAATCACATTGTCTTTTCTGTTTGTGTTGACTGCACGGAATAGCTCTGCTTGATCTGACTTATGATTATTAGGAATGCTTATTTTTATGACGATAAAGACAAGTGTAAATGACTAAAAAATTTTCTATTGAACTCTATCACTAATCAGTGATTTTTGACTGGGAATTATTTGTCTTATGATTAACGGATTTTGGAGTACTTATATAATATGGACTCCATTGCTTGTTTATACCAAGATCATATCCAGTTTATATTATTTACAATTCATGTTGGTTACATGTGTTACTTTGGGACGGCAATAATTTGATGTTTGCTCCTATAAGATTTTTTTTAGTTATATTCTCACTCCCCTCTCTCTCTCTCTCACTCACTCATTTCAGTTATGGGACATAAATATGGATTCCGGTCCTGTTGCTACTTTCCAGGTTCATGAATATTTAAGGCCGAAGGTGACTAATTTTTTTTTTGGAAGTTTGGATGACTACAAATGCATCTGAAGCATTTATGGTACCATGTAATGAAATGTCCATGTTTTTTTAATACCTTTGTCAGCTCTGTGATTTATATGAAAATGATTCCATCTTCGATAAATTTGAGTGCTGTCTTAGTGGAGATGGACTCCGAGTGGCAACAGGTTCATACAGGTCTGGTTTATATATGTTTACCCACTGAATTTTTTATACCATATTTACTAAGCTTAAATGCCTGTTTTAATCTGGAAAATTCTATTCCTTTCTATGATTTCAGCAATCTGTTCCGCGTGTTTGGCTGTTCTGAAGGCAGCACAGAAACAACAACTCTTGAAGCCACCAAGAATCCGATGAGGTATATTCTAATATTGATGCTATTGAATTTGTATAAAAAGTAGAACTACTGCTCTTCAGTTTAACCAGATCAACGAAGTTCTGCTGCAGGAGACCTGAGGAAAAAAGTTATGTTTCCAATTGATCAGTATTTTGCTGGCTGTCCGCAGAGCTCTTAACTTTTTCATCTTGATTTGATGTATCTCAACCGTTTTGGTGTAATTTCAGGAGACAAGTTCAAACTCCGCAGAAGCCTTCTAGATCTCTAGGCACCCTTCCCCGTGTTCTCAGGAGAGGTATGTCTTTTAGTGAACATTTACTGCATTTGGATGCAAGGTCTGGTGTATATTGTCTAAACTTGGTTTGGATATTGACCGCCCCTACTGCAGTGTTGAATACAAATTTTTATATAGCTGTATGAAATCATTATTAGTAAAATTTATTTTGATTATCTCTTATTTCCTTCTTAACTTAATTACATTAAGGAGTAGTTGGGTGAATGCTGAATAATTATGAGATCCATTCTTGTTTCTATAGCTAGGACAACTATAAAGAACTACTTCAAACCCAAAACCTTAAGGCATTAGGTGATGTTAAATTAATTATTTTGTATCTCTCTAACACACCTCCTCACGCAAGAGCTAAAAAGTCTTGAAGAGAGGATATTGCACAAGTCCATTTTTTGGTCTGTCTTGTGCCACCTGAAAGTGGGGGCGGTGAAAATCGAACTCGTGACCTCGTGGTCACTGAAGCTCTAATACCATAACTTCAACCCAAAACCTTAAAGCATTGAGTGAGGCTAAATTAATTATTTTGAATCTCTCTAACAACAACATCGAACTGGTATATTATAATACTTTGCTAGTCAACTTGTATTTGGAGAACCATGTTTATCTTATGGCATCTGTAATTTCCTAATTATTTAGACCATGGATCTTCCCCTGAACTCTACTCCTCTTTCACCATGACTATAATAAAAGGCACAGATAATTCTGGAGCTGATACAAATGGGAATACCTTCGATTTCACGACAAAGTTGCTTCATTTAGCATGGCATCCGACTGAAAACTCACTCGCCTGCGCTGCTTCAAATAGCCTTTACATGTATTATGCATAAAAGTCTCCTGGGAATTAATACAGCTGCTATAGGAGGATCATAAGTTAACGTTGCATGTGATGGAAGCTGCTTTCCTTCTCGCATCACAGATTACGTGCACTGGGGTCATTCCAACACACTCATTTGTGGAACTCAGATCATGACCTACTCATACTTTTATTATAGTCTGACGCCACGATAATTGGAATATTAGAAAAATGACTGGCCTGAGCCTCTCTACTCAGATGGGAAGTCGATGCTAATTATTATTATTTTTTCTCATATGTAACCACAATTTTTATTTGCGTTTTGGGTCAAAGAAAATGTAATATATGCTTTATTGCAATTGAGGCTGTTAATAGCGCCACTTGGTTTAGTTAGAGCGAAGAGCTTTTGTGGCGACTTTATTTGTATTATCTGCCAACCTAAAGGAGTTATAAGGCTTGTAATTTTATAGCTGCTTTCCTGTTTTCTTCTCTTTCAGCTCCCACTTTCTGTTTTGGGGGGATTTTATTATTTTAACCTGTTTAAGTAACATGATTAATTTAGTTTAGTTAGATAAATGATTATTTATATCATTTCTAATAAGTGGTTAAACTAGTTTGATAAATAGTTAAGAGTACTTTTTTTAATGGTATTCACATGTAAAGTGAGTTATGCAATATTTATTATTTATTAATTATATTTAATGGATTTTTAATTTTTTATAATAACATCAACAATTAATAAATGTTAAGATTTTAGTTTAAACGCTTGTACCCTAATGAGAATATAGCAACTCAATAAGTAGGAGGAAAGTTTTAGGGCCTCAGTTCCCTTCGCTTCAAGGATCGCACTTGGAGTTGGGCCTGGTCATGTCTAGATGCTTGTTTGAAGGTCGAAAATGCAAAATGATGTTCATCGATAATTATTATGAATTTAATTTAAATCTTTAGTGTAAATACTGAATAGTCTCATATTATTTTTTCACCATACGATTATATATAGGGTAAATATCATTTTTCGGTCCCCAGTAAATTTTATGATGCCCGCTTTAGTTCCTAGCAAATAAAAAAGCAATTTGTGGTCCCTAAGAAATCAAAGTAGATTCATTTTAGTCCTTTTGAGGGATTAATATTGATCTTTTTTGAATTTGTGAGGGACCACTATTTCAACTAAATGGGTATATTTTGAATTTTTTAGGAACTACTAATAATCTTTTTATTTGCTAAGAACTAAAGCGGACATCGCAAAATTTGCTGAGAACCAAAAAGACTATTTACTCTTGTATATAAGAAAATGATACATAATCAATACTGAAATGTAAAGGTATTTGTAAGCTGACCCAATTTAACGAGAGTTGAAAAAATAAAAAATTTCAAAAAAACGAAAATATCTTCTTCTTTTTTGATTGGGTTGATATTTCAAAAAAATGAAAATATCTTCTTCTTTTTGATTGGCTTGATTTTTCTTTTGATTTTAAAATACGATCCAACCTAAATTGTATCAAACTTAAACGTGTGTATATATATATATATATTGGGAAAATATATTTATATATCTTAGGTTATTTTAGTTAATAAATACAAAATTAGATTTATGACTAATTTTAATAATTTGTTTAATGTAATTTTGATGTTTTTTAACTAGTTGTAAAGCTAAATGTATAGATTTATAATGCCTAAACCAGAAAATAAGGTAATATACTGTGCCAATATTTTCAATTTATGAAACTGTAAAAGTAACTTTCATACTATGTCAGAGTTTTGAGTTTTATTTTATGCATTGTATTTGATTTTTCTTTTTTTCTTAATTATTATTAAGTCTATCTACTTAAAAAACATAAACTAAAAAAATTTATCAAATCCAAACTGTTTCATATTAACTTTAATTGGATTTTTTTAGTATACTCACCTTAATTACCTTTTTGAGGCAAATAATCCTTTAAGTATTCTTATAAGTTTCAACTCTTTAAACCAATTATAAAACTAATCTCAAATCAGAACTCAGTCACAATTAAAGTTCATCGTCCCTTTTCGAAAATATATTTAGTGGCAATCAAAATTTAAATTGGATTACACAACAAATAAGAAAATCAATAGAGTTGAATTGAATGTTTGTTCTCCTCAAAACCAATCTAATTTAATTCACGAATACCATTGCTGAAAGGGCGAATATGAAGAAGACAGAGACTAAGATTATCCCTACAAAAGCATAAAGAAAAAATGAAAAACAACTTTATCACAAAAGAAATGGTTCATCATATTTAAAAATTAATTTATTGGAAAAATGCATGTCATTTTAAATGACACTGCAGGCTGTTTGGTAGGGGGTAAAAAAAAAATTGGCCAGGAAAATAGAATAGGAAAAATAATATGGCCATGTTTGGTAGGAGAATTAGGAAAAAGTGTCTGAAAAAAAAGCTGACTATCTTTTCATTTTGTACACAAATGGGTTGGAAAATTTGGACATTGTAGGGGTGGTTATCTTTTTTTCACTGTTGGTAGCAAATCCTTGACACAATAATATGACGAAAATGCCTTGCTTCACACGGTCAGAATTTCTACTTGTTACAAAAAAATCTACAGATGCTTGACCAAACGGTCTTCAACAGAGAGAGAGAATGACGACGAATGTCTAAAATAAAAAAATACGAATTTCAACAATATTAAAATTCATGGATATTTTCGTAATTTCAGTAAATATTCCAATCATTTTTTTACAATCAACAAAACATACCTTAGTGGGTTGTTACTTTTATGGTTAACTCATATTATATATTTAAACCTTTAAATATTGGAATAAAAATTATCAGATCAGATTAAAAAAATTATCCCAAAAGACACTTGCGCAAGAGGTCAGACTTCCTTAGTAAAGCTATTTGAGGTCAGACTTTCTTAATAAAGCCAAATTCCCATTTTTATTTATTTTGTTCATAACAATTGGTATCAAAGCTCAGGCATGGACAAACGCGTTAAGAAATTGGAAGACGTGGTCTAATCTTTGTCAGAGCAATTCAAGGAGATATTTACCCAATTCTCCAACAGGTTGGACGTCTTGGTGGCTAACAGGCCCAACACCCTCTCATCTGCTATTGGGATGTCAAAATTATATGAGGCCCGCAATCAGACGATCATCTTTCTTGCTCAGAATGTGCGACGTACCATAACAGTCAACAACACCAAGGGTTCATCTTTATCCACTCCCACCAACGATGCTACATCTTCTGGTAGTGGCGCCTCCTACACTGGTTCAACTCTTGTTCGCTGTTTGACTCTTGTTCGCTGTTTGACTTTCGAAGAGATATCTGAGCAGCTACAGAAGGGGTTGTGCTTTCGTTGTAATGATGCATTCACTCCAGGCCATCGCTACAAACAATTGTTCACCATCCAAGTAGTGACAAAAGAGAGCCACAATGAGGCAGTGATGGACAAAAGTGAAGGAGAAGCGGATATTGAATATGACTCAATTACTTGATATTGAACTTACTCTTAAGAACAAGAGTAATTTTTTTATTTTTATTTTTTTGTAAATAGAACAAGAGTAATTTTAGGGGGAGAGAATGTTATGATTTTATTTATGTTATTTTATTATTTTCTGTATTATTGAGTTGTTTAAGTAGTGTGTAGTTATTTTTCTTGTTTTGTTATTAGTGGAATCTATTTGATGTTAGTGGTAGTTACTTTTGTGGTTGACTCATATTATTTATTTAAACATTGAAATATATACCAAATGGTAGTAGGTCAGTTGGCGCATAAGAGCTAAGCAGGTGGGGGTGAGAGCATGTGTTCGAATCTCCCAAATATCACCTTTGGAAGGGATTTAAAGCCTTAATCCTGGACCCGCCCCGAATCGGATTAGTTGCGAAGTAATGAATCGATTAGAATACTTCTAAAAAAAATATTGAAATATAATCGTTGGATCAACATAATCATCTAATAATGAAATTGATTGATAATAACCTTAATTAATTGTTATAATATTATATCCCTTATTTTATTTATAATACTTCATTTATATTTATTGTGAAAACATTAAAGCCTTTTATTAATAATACCGTTCATAAAATTTTACATAATATTAAAAGGAAAGTATTTAAAAAAAAAAGAATTACAATATTTCAGGGGTTGATTCCATTTGCGATTTCAACCAAGTTGATTCGTCAGGGGCCGTTTGGTACGTGATTTTTTTGTAGGATTTTTGGGAAATTGATTTTTTTTTTAATTTTAAATTTTTGGATATTATCGTAAACTGAATATAAAAATTATATGGGAAAAGTGTGTATAATTTTAAAGGATGTAAAGTTGTGTCATTTGAAGAGAGAAAGAGATAGATTAAGGAGGAGAGAGAGTTGACAAAAAAAAATAAAAGTGTGGGTCCTACCTCTTTGTGAGAGTAAAACGATGTAAGTTGTGTAATTTTAAATGATAGACACTTTTCCCAAATTATATTTTTAAAAATTGAGATTTCCTGATAAAAAAAAAAAAAAATTCTCTATCAAACGCCTCTTAAAAGATAAAAAAAAGATAAAAAAGTAAAAGGGTGACCCGGGAATAGCATAGAGCCATAGACCAAAGAGGGAAGGAAGAGGATCAACGCAAAGTCGCAAATTCTCCTATTCTCAACCATCATGGCTCTTGTAAGTCGAAGTGCAACCACCTGGCGCCTCCCTCAACGGTTGGTTTCCGTTTCCCTCCTCTCCTCCGGCGCCGCCACTCCCACTCAATATAATCGACCACCGCCTCCCGCACCATCCTCTCCCGCCGGCATCTCCAAGACTGCGGAATTCGTGATATCGAAGGTGGACGATCTCATGAACTGGGCCCGAAGCGGTTCCATCTGGCCCATGACCTTTGGGCTCGCTTGCTGCGCCGTTGAAATGATGCACACCGGCGCCGCCCGCTACGATCTCGATCGATTCGGCATCATCTTCAGGCCCAGCCCTCGCCAGTCCGATTGCATGATCGTTGCCGGAACCCTCACTAACAAGATGGCCCCTGCTCTTCGCAAGTGCGTTTCAATCCAATTCCCCCCTTTTTTCTAGGGTTTTGCCTTTTCTCAGTTCCATTTATTATTAATTTTTATTTTGCTTATTTTCCAATATTTCTGAGTTCCTTTTATTTTTCTTCTTTTCTGTGATTTGAGGATAGATTTGCTTAATTTGGTACGTCTTGAAATGTGATACTCGATTTTCATAGTTTACTTTTGGTACTACTATATTCCGCTGCCGGTACTGTACGGTTTCTCTATGTGCTTGAATGTTGAAATCATTTTAGTTGACTGATACTGCGTGTCGAAAGAGGTGCTTTACATGGATATTATTGATTGTTTCATATTAAGTGTGAGAGGTGTGAACATTTTGAGCAGACTGAAGAGAGTTTAAGGGGATTTGTTATAGAAAAAGTAGCAAGTGATTCGAAAGAAAACAATTCTAGCTTGATCTTCTCTTCAACTTCTATCTACCGCGGTATAATTAGTAACTTTTTGCTCATTGAACTTTCAGATATGTGTGGTCTTTAAATGAAGATATTTGATGGAAAGTTGGAGTAGTACTGGTGGAAGAAGAGATGAGAGATCATAGATTGAGATGATTTTTACATGTTCTTCAAAGACCCTTAGATGCTTCAATAAAAAACAAAAGGAAGTTTGTTATCAAGAGCATGACATAAAGAAAATAAGAGGTTGTCTGAATTTTATTTGGAGAAAGTAATAAAACAAGATTTAATGAAGTGAGAAATAGATTGATGTGCTGTTTGTCATAGGATGGAGTGGAGGAAAGCAATTAGGATTGTGGGGGTGAAAATTTTCTTTTATTTATTTATTTATTTTTATTGCATGTATATTATTTTTTCTTATTTACTATTTATTTTTCTTCAATTTGATCTTACTTTTATATGGGCTCAAGGCTCATTGACTACCCACCCTAACTAATTTGGGATAAAGGTAATGTTGATGTTGAACTTTCAAATTCACTTGTGGAATTCTGCATTTTTTTTCTAATATAATTGTAAGATTTTTTTAGTGTCTATATTACTCTTTAGAACATGTATTGTAGTGCTGGCAGTTCATCTTCTTGGTGTTGGATTTTTCCACTGTAGATGCAAAGCTAATAATTAATTTTTATGTTCCTTTTTTTTCTTAGTTCCCCCCTGCTTCCCTGAAGTGCGACCTTTACCTTATTAATGTTAATCCTGGTAACTTGTTTTGTGTTCTGTCTTGCACTTAGCCACTAAGTTTATGAAATTTGCATTTTTCTTCTTGATGCTGAAAAAATCTTGCAGGGTTTATGATCAAATGCCCGAGCCTAGGTGGGTTGTCTCTATGGGAAGTTGTGCTAACGGAGGTGGATACTACCACTATTCATACTCTGTTGTTAGAGGATGTGACAGGATTGTTCCTGTTGACATATATGTTCCGGGCTGTCCTCCAACTGCTGAGGCTTTACTATATGGGCTCCTCCAGCTGCAGAAGAAGATCCATAGGCGTAAGGACTTACTCCACTGGTGGACCAAGTGAGGTCAATTAAATTTATTTCTTGGCTGCTTAGCTATGTTATAATAAGCAATTCACAGTGGTTTCCCTTGCTACAATGCGCCCCATGTAAGATGGAGATTGTGTTGACATATTTAGTTCGGTCATTCTGTGCAGCACTTGTGGTGCTTCATGTCATTTGGAAAGTTATTACTGTTGGACTTGATCTGCTCATGAAACACGCGTGTTTGTAATTTGTTAAAGCTTCTGATGTATGTTGTTAAATCTGGGAATAAAGAAGACACCCCATGTTCGACTCATAAGTTACTGTTTTTATGTTTGAACAATTTTCTACTTGCTTATTCTAGATCACTAGTTAGGGTGAATCTATTGAAATGATTTGTTTCGGCTTCTCTTTGTTTTTGGCCCATGAAATAGTGATATATCGTCTTGCTTACTTATTTGAGGAGTAGAACGATCGGAATGAAAAACATTTTGGAAAGGAGGCCGATATGCAATGGGAGAGGAAATACTTTGATTTTCATTCACTGCTGTTTGGTAAAGGGTAGAAATTCAATTTACTTTCACGTTATAGTAGTTGCTATAATTTGTGGGATGGAATGTATATGTGTTGAATTTTACTCAAAACATTTTATATATCTTTCTATCAAGTCTTTTCTTTTTTGCTTCCTGAGAAAAGAAGCCCAGGGAGGAAGTGGCGAATGATAAAAGAAGAGAGCCCTCTGATCGGGAGGTCTGAAAAAGCAGATGCATTTAACATGTTTAAGATTAAAATATAAATAATGCGTCTAATTATATATCATGCATGAGTATTGCTATTTGTAACGATTCCTATTCCACAAAGGGCCGATGACAAATATGTTCGGTAAGATTTTTCCATATGTCATAGGGATTTAGGTTTAGAGCGCTAGAGAACTTTTCATGGGGTGGGCGAGTTGGGTAAGTTTGCAATCTTCGTGGCTTGCATCAGCGAGAGTTTGGAAAGCTCATTATGTACCTTTCTTTTAAGATATTTGATTTTCTCATGTTGCATGAGAATTGAATTCTCATATTATGACTCAACTAGTGGTGGACTCCATATTTATTAAAAAGTAAAAAAGAAAAAAAAAAATTTGCACGTAAATCGAAGGGTCACAACATGAGAATTGAATTCTAATGTAATATGAGGAAATGTTTTCTCTTCTTTTAAATAGGAAAACTATCTCTCTGCAAAAATAGTTTACCTGTTGCATTTATATAAAAGTGATTGGATCCACTTACTCACTTTTTTTTTTTTGGTATCCATCCACTACTAATTTATATAAATCAACGGTTACGATTGATTGAATTATTTTTACTAATTAATTATTAATTATTAAAAATTATAATCGTCAAATTTATAAAAATCAACGATTAATATTGAATGTAAAATTTATAATTCTTATATGGATATAAGAAAATTATGCCATATATATATATATATATATAGAGAGAGAGAGAGAGAGAGAGAGAGAAGTCACATGAGGCTCATCATTAAAGGATAAAAAAAAAGAGTGGATGTAATTTTTGAACTGAGATAACATGAGATAATTACCTCATATGAAATGAGAGTAATATTTTTCATATATATATATATATTGTTATATTAGTTTACATGAATAAATAAAATAAAATAAAAATAAATAGATCTTTTCTCATTTGTTTTATAATAGGTAAAATATGAAATTAGCATGTTTCTAGTGTATATATATATATGGGTTCGCTTTTTCTGCAGTTGTTGCAGATAAGTTATCTGCACTAAGCAGTTACTGTAGATAAGTTATCTGCAGTAAACGCAATACGACGTCGTTTTGAGGCGGAAATCATTATGTTTTTGTAATTTTAATTTATTTCAGGTTATAATAGTCTTTATACTTATAATTTTTTAAGATTTCAATACCATAATGATGTCGTTTTGGGAATAAATGTAGATAACTTATCTTCAGAAACTGCAGAAACATTTTTCCCTATATATATAGGGGAAGGATATTGTGACAACCAAGTTGTGTTACTACCAAGTGACTACCAATCAATCTTACCGTTAGATCGATTATGTTGATCCAACGGTTATATTTATTTTCATCTTTGTATGGTCATGATTTTTCATATTTAAAGTGAAATCATTAAATATGGGAAATCATAACCATACAAAGGTGAAAATAAATATACAGTATTAAATTTGGGAAATCATGACCATACAAAGATGGAAATAAATATAATCGTTGGATCAACATAATCGAACTAACGGTAAGAATGATTGGTAGTCACTTGGTAGTAACACAACTTGGTTGTCACAATATCCTTCCCCATTAAAAATAACATAAAACCCTCAAACCAATTTTTGTTTTACATCAAAGAAACAAGATCAATTTAAAGAAAGATTGAAACTTTTATAATAACCCTATATTTCGTAACAATACATTCATGAACGATATTCCTTTGCTATAGGAAATGATTTCAAACAATTTTTGTATTAATAGATAACTAAAAACTTATTTTTCAAAAGCCCTAAAACAATTTAAGATTTTAATGTATCAATTAAAAATAATTTGAGAAATTTTATAAACTTTCATGTAATAAAACCTAAAAATACAGATTCGAAATTTTCTTAAATACTCCATGAAAACATGCATACTATACATGGTTAGAAACCTCTCATCACGTAGAACAAAAATCTCAAGGTTTCTAAGACCAATTGCAAAAAATTCTAAACGAATTTTTATCATGAACTTTAGGTTCTATATGTAAATTTAGAATTATTTTAATAAATAAATAAAATTTGGGTCTTGTAATCATATATGCATAGCTCTAATACCAAATGAAGAAGATAATTTTTAACTCATTGGTCAAGAGCATGAAAGATAAAATGTTAATGCATGGAGGATTAATATAATATTAGATTTGTGAAGAGTTGTTCCTGAGTAATTTTGAATGTTGGTTAAAAATTATATTATGTTTTATTGATGGAGAAAATTATATTAGATTTTATTTTATTTATTAATATCATTGCATTTCTTTGTTGTTTTTGTATTGACTATTGTAATTTTGAATATTTGTTAAAAATTTATATGATTTTTTAAAATCTTCTAAATTCATATTGTCCTTTCAAATATTATAAATTCTATTAAAATCCTTTAAAATCTAATTTTATGAAATCTTGATTGTAAAGAATGTCTTTTAAAAAAGTCTTTAAAGTCCGTCCAATTATAAATAGTCTTTTAAAAAACTATGAGATTCTTTATCTCAATTTTGTTTTTCAAAATACTAATCCAATAATAATTTCCTTGCAGATCAGATTTGGGTTTTGAACTTATACTTAATGTTATTTTTATTAATCTTATTTTTAATTTTTTCTCACTTAATTTCTCGTGTTTACACATGATGCTTTATTTTCTTTTTCTTGATTTCTCTTGCAAGCCGGTATTACTTTGTTTATTTAATTACATTCTCGTGTGAATTTTTGTTTACATTATTAAAATGATAATAAAGATTATAAATATAAGAACTAAATTAAAATATTATTATGTATAAAAAAATTAAAATATAATTTTATTATAAAAATTAAATTAATTGGTATTTTATTTTTTTTGGTAACAAAATTAATTGGTATTTGATTGATGAGATATTGTGGTGAGGCGAATCTGTGAGACTTGAGTGATTTTTCCAATATATAAAATGACAAGTCACGCCCCGTGGGTGGAGCTAATCCGGTACAAGTATCGAGTGATCGAGTCTTTACCCTACGCTAGGGTTTTTTCTTCTTCATCTTCTTCCCTTATTCTCTTTCCTCGAAACAATTCTCATGGCCGACGAATCTCAATATTCAGTGGGCAACGACGCCACGACACCACCCTCCTTGAAGCGCAAGTACAACGACGATCAACCCCCAACCCACAGACCCACCGGATTCTCCGACACACCGGAGGTGGTGCCGCCACCCTCCTACAACAGCGTCCCTCCCCCCGCCGCCACCGGCATCGAGCTCGCCAAGCAGCGTGCTCAAGAGGTCGCCGCTCGCCTCCTCAGTGGAGCTCCTCCTCTCGACCCCAAGCGACCCAAGGTCGATAACGGCGCTCCCGCCGCTTACGATTCAATCGGTTAGGGTTTTACACTTTCACTTTTCAGCATCACTTTTTTTTTTTTTTTAATTTTTAATTTTTTTTTTTATGAATGTGATGGTTTTGTTGCAGATTTGAAGCCTCAGTACTTAGCTCCTTCGATTTCTCCATCGTACGGGCATCAGGGTCAGGGTGCTAGCAAGAAGATCGATATCCCTAATGGAAGGGTTGGTGTCATCATTGGTAAGGGTGGCGAGACCATCAAGTACCTTCAGTTGCAGTCCGGTGCCAAAATTCAAGTTACTCGTGACATGGACGCTGACCCCAATTCTCTAACTAGGACGGTTGAACTTATGGGTACAGCTGATGCTATTGCTTCTGCTGAGAAGCTCATCAGTGAAGTTTTATCTGAGGTACTAACCTTTTCTTTGAATTGGCATGTGTGCTAGTATGGTAGCTTTGATAATTTAGTCTGATGTCTTTTAAGTCTGTTATGACTCTAGTCAATTGTTTTGGTTATAAACTACAGAGGCCTGCGTTTGTTTTTGGTTATTTATAAGGTGGTTTCGTATTTTTTAAATGATTTTGATCATACGATGTAATGTTGTGTTTTTGAAAGGCTGAATCTGGAGGTTCTGGCATTGTTACTCGTCGACTGACCGGACAAGCTGGGTCTGATGAGTTTGTGATGAAGATCCCAAATAACAAGGTGTGCAGATGATTTATGTAAAAGCATATGCCTTATATAATGTATTAAGTGTTTGCTTTTATTCTCTTTTGGATTTTTTTAACCTTTTTGGGCTGGGATGGTCTGTCACGTGGGTCTTCAGGTTGGTCTTATAATTGGTAAAGGAGGAGAAACAATAAAGAATATGCAAGCTTCGACTGGAGCAAGAATTCAGGTTTGGCGTCTCAATTATTGTTGTCTTCATTTCGTCATGCCTTGGATAATAGATACTGATTTTTTTTTCCCCATTAGCTTTGTGATTACTGCTAATATTATTTTTTGAAAACGATAATGGCTGGCTATGAAGCACCGACTCCGACATGGCGTTTTCGATACGTTCCAAATACGTTCTCGATACGACCATTAATTCGTCGATACGATACAATACATTTCGATACGTTTCCTATATGCGTATCGGAAACGTTGGAAAAAAATTCGGAGTATCGGTGCTTCATAGATGGCTGGCTCTGAAGACGTGGAATTCTCATTTATTATCGCTGTTCACAATGTATAATATATTTTTTCAGGTGATTCCTCTTCATCTTCCCCCTGGTGACACATCCACAGAGAGAACATTAAAAGTTGAAGGGACCCCAGAACAAATTGAGTCTGCGAAACAATTGGTTGATCAAGTCATCAGTGGTGATGTATGTTTAGTACTCTTCATTTTTTTGCTGGATTTGGCCTTGGGTATAGCTTGTTTTGCTTGCCATGTGCCAATTCTAGTTTAGTTTAAAATTTGTTTTTTCAAGTGCACATTGTAGTTTCTATATTTATATGTTTAATCATCATGCAAGATGGTTGAGTTTGATCAAAGTAGTTGAATTTGTGCATTTGCTTACTGATTGATAGATTGTACCATTCTCTTATGATTACTAGAATGGGTCTTTAATAATGTGTTGCAATCTTAAAACTCAAAACTTACCCAATAATTCCTGTAATCATGCTACTTTAAGTTTTGGTCTTTTTTGTGATGATTGCTTATGTTCATCAATTGCAGGGGTTAAAAATCATAATTTTGTATTTGGTAAACTGAGATGGTTGACATATTTTGGCTTGCCTTTATTTAATAATTCATAGCTCCCCCTAATTATAGGGTGTATCATGTCATGCCTGTTACTGTAAAAACTTATGTTCTGCGTGCTTTAGGTTTAACTGCATGTTGAGGTGTAAGGACATGGCAATTTCTTCATGCCTAAGATGTAGTCTCTAGCAAGTGGTATCTATAGTGAGTTTCTGTTATTATATTTTCAGCCGATGCTGAAGACTACACAGTTTTATATCCTTTATTAGTTTTCTGGCTCCATTTATTTTTACTGTGCTGGAAGTTTTTAAGTCTGAGCTATAAATATATGCATGAAATTAGAAGATACGCTAAATTGATAATGTCTATTGTCCTATACTGCTAATCTCTACAGTGCAGTTTCATTCTCTTCTAAGTTGAAATTTGATTAGGGAAACAGGCCACTGTAGTGGTTATCGTTATGGCTTGTAATTTCTTTGTCAAAATCTGTGCTGTATCTAGTTTAATTACGATCTGGATATTATATTGTAGCAACATGCATTGACCGGTATTTTGGTGTATCGTCCCAGTTAATGATGAATTGCCCCGAACTTCTTGTGTCTTTCTGGTTCTTACTTGCTAACTTTCTTCTGTGTGCGCGTAGGCTTCTATGAAATACATAAATACATCTGTAGTCAGTATTGTATACATGTGTATTTATAAAATTGATTGAGGAGAATGGTTGACATATTAATTTAGAATTGGATAGTTCATTTTTGTTAACTAATATACCAAACTTCTGCACGGACTGTTTTATCTGTGGTTAAGTATTGCCCAAACATTGTGCTGTGCTTTAGGTTCTCAGGGGACATCAAGGTTAACCTTCTTATGCCGTTGTTTTTGGTCAAAGTGGATACTTTGGGATTATAGCCTGTTCAACCTTGGTCTTATTTAACTGTTGTATCCTATGACTGATCTTGTTATTGGGACTGTTGTAGGATTAGTTTTTATTGGACCATTAGTGACACCAACATGGAATCCCTTTGTTGGTGTTCCCTCAGCATGCGATGGTATGGTTCTAAATCTCAGTTTTGATATTTATTCGAGGGAAGTAAGTCTACTATTGATGTCTATACATTGCCACAATTGGACTGGATATACACTATCATATTGGCATCCTTTTATACAATACCATTTTTGCCTCTCAGTTCATTGTTTAAAACGCAGTATTTTGTCCTCACGTCTTATGCTGGACTTACATTTGGCATAATAACTTGAAACCTGTCCATTGCTGTTAATTCTATACATTGTCACAATTGGACTGGATATACACTATCATATTGGCATCCTTTTAGACAATACCATTTTTGCCTCTCAGTTCATTGTTTAAAACGCAGTATTTTGTCCTTGCGTCTTATGCTAGACTTACATTTGGCATAATAACTTGAAACCTGTCCATTGTGAAACTCAAATTTTTTTTCTCTATATTATTACTGCTTCCCTTTTTTATGGTCTTCTAGTTGTTACAACTAACAATTATTATATTTACATACTGACATCCTTTCAGACAATGTTATTTGTGCCTGTCAATTCAATGCTATAAAGAACTATTACATGCCTAAAACACTGTTTTGTCCTTGTGTCTTTTGCTGGACTTACATTTGGCATGACAACCTCAAACTTTCCATTCTTAAGGTCATAACCTTTTCCCTATCCTGTTATTTTTGTTCTTTTTCTGGTCTTCTAGTTGTTTAACAGTTATTATGTTATTTAAAAATATTTTTTCTTGTAAAATCTGTTAGCTGTTTTTAATGCCTTCTGGGTTTTACATTTCACGTGTAACATTTTCTTGTCATAGGATGTGCTAGTTCATTTCTACCTCCTTATCATCATGGTGCTTTCTTTTCTTTTTTTCTAGCCTATTCTCTGATTTTGTCAGTCATTATCTTTCTATAATCTTTGTTGAAGTTCTTGCTTCTGCACTCTGTAACTTTATTTTCTTAACTCATCTTTCCTCTTGGATTCCTTTTCAATTCAAATAGTAGCTGGTTATGTGTGCTTTTATTTGATGCTTCCTTTGAGGTTGATCTCTTAGAATTGATGGAGAGAAGGTTGACCGGACAATCTTCTTTGCATTTGGAGCAGAGAGTTGTCGTGACAGTTTGAATGCAACACCCATCTCTTGGTACATGAGGGGATTATATGCGAGAGGGTGTCACATTGTATATTTTGGATTATATTTTATAGTTGCTCTTACTTATGCAGTTAATGTGATAGTCCAAAGGATTGGCTTGTTGAATTACTGTGAATGATTTATAATGTAACAATTGGAATATAAGCACTCCATATTTTGAGATACCATATAGTTGATTGCCTTTTGAGGCAATGAAAATTGTATGCTTGTCTGCTTCTATGGCTTGTGTTTTTCTTTTGTACCCATTCATTTCGAATAGGATGAGGGTGTGCTTCTGCCGGAGTAACTCAGTTATATCCCGAACCAGTACGGTATGTAGGCCTTTATACCCCTTTCTGATCCTGTATGGAATCTGTTAATGTAACATATACCCTTCATCTTGTGTTATTCATATGTGATTTCTAGTGATGTTTTTACTTGTCTTTTTGTTTGTGCATTTATATTGCTGTATGTATTGTCACATCTTGGGTGAGTTCACTTTTTTTTATTTGTGGTTACAATTTTTCATTTTGCAGAATCGTGTTAGAAATTCAGCAATGTCTGGTGGTTATTCTCAGCAAGGTTACCAGGCCCGGCCACCCTCTAGCTGGGTTCCCCCTGTTGCTCCTATGCAACAACCTGGTTATGGCTATGTGCAGCCTGGAGCATACACTGGTCCATCACCCCAGTATAGCATGCCTCAACCGTCATATGCAGGATATCCTCCCCAGTCATCTGGTGGATATTCCACCAATTGGGACCAGTCCACTGCACCTCCCCAGCAGTCTACTCATGCTGGCTATGATTACTATAGTCAACAGCAGCAACAGCAAAATACTGGGGTTCCTGCACCTCCAGCTGATGGGACTGCTTACAGTTATAGTCAACCACCCTCCTCTGGTTATAACCAACCAGGACAGGGCTATGCTCAGGATGGCTATGGTGCATATCATGCTCAACCACAATCTGGGTATGGTCAGCCGCCATCATATGATCAGCAGCAAGGTTATAGCTCAGCCCCCAGCTATGGTACTGGGAGCAACCCGGCACAAGAGGGTCACGCTCCCAACTATGGATCACAGGGGGATTCAACCCAAGTTCTGCCTGTCCAACCTTCAATGTCCCAGCAAGGTTATGGTACTGGCCAACAGCCTAGCCCAAATGCTGCTAACTATCCACCACAAGGTGCTGCTCAGGCAGGCTATGGGGTGCCCCCAACCACCCAAACAGCTTATGGCAATCAACCCCAGGTGCAGTCTGGTTATGGACCTGGTTATGGACCTCCTCAAACTCAAAAGCCTACAGGCACTCCACCTGTTTATGGACAGTCACAGTCACCTAATGCAGCAGGAGGGTATGGTCAATCTGGGTATCCCCCTTCACAGCCCCCACCTTCTGGTTATGGTGGTGCTGTACAACCAGGGTACGGTCCCCCATCATATGGTGCTCCAGCGAGTGGTCAACCTGGTTATGGTCAGGCACCTCCTTCATACAGCAACAGTTCTTATGGTGCTGGCTACCCCCAGCCCCCAGCATATTCTAGTGATGCTAATTCAGGTGGGAGTACTCGTGGAAGCTATGAGGGAACACCTGCACAGACTGTTCAACAGGGTAGTGTTGCTAAAACGTCACCTCAGAGTTGATATTGTAGTTTGTTTATTTTGGATTTTTTGAATCGACGGTTTTATAGTATTTTTATTGTATTAGTGACATCTACATAGCTTTTGCGATGTTTGACATGGACGCATTATTAAACCCTTTATCTTGCCTTAAAATTAGGTGGTAAAATTCCTGTTTTTGTGTGTACGTCACATGGCAGCTTCCAAAAGAAATGAAACAACTTCAAAGCATAAAATGAAAAAACCAAGAAAGTCATAATGCCAAATATGCATTCTACGTTGTCCCTAATTTTGCGCAAAGGAGAGCCACCTCCGGTGGAAGTGCACGGAAAGCAACCTTGGGAGACGAATGATACCATATCTCAGTACCATAAATTTCAGCATACAGATAACATGAATGCGTACTAATGATATGGAAATCATGCCAAACAAAATAAAGCTCGAGTCAAACATTATAAAAAGAAAAGTTACATGGTCAGGGAAAAGGTTGAACAAAACAGTTGGACATCATTCAGGGAAAATAGTCTCTCGTAGTCATCCTAGAAAGAGAAACAATAACCCTACTTTTTCGTCCACATTATGCGAAGGAAACTCAAAAGCAGGCACATCTTATACGCATGAAACCATAGAACAATATGTTTTGAAACAATAACCCTACTTTTGACTACTCCCAAATTGATCCGAACACAAAGATAGCTAAAGTATGTCTTTTCATTTCTGGTCGAGCTATAGCATGCATCACATGAGCAAGGATGCTTTAGGTTTGGACTTGTTATAATCCGAGCGGCAAATGACAAATGAAAAAGATAGCTAATATATGATTGTAGCACTTTGAAGTTTAATGGAGATCTCGGCGATTGGTGAACCATCCGCTGAGGAGGTTGATCTCTTGAAGAGTAGTTTTGACAAAGCTAAAGAAGTGTTAGGGAAGAAACCGATATCTTATAAGGATACACTCTTACAGTTGAATGGGCTGAAAGTTACGGATGACGTCGAGGAAAGGGATTGGTTTGAGGAGTTGGATGTTCATGGTATGGAGGAGGATGTTCAATCAAATGACCAAGATGATCCTTTCTGTCCTACATACAGATTTTCAAAAGAGCTATATAAGGAGAGTTGCAGGCCTTGGAAGCAAGCTGTGATTATCAAGCTCTTGGGAAAAAAGGTTGGTGTAAAGTTTCTGCTGAACAGACTCTTGAAGATGTGGAATCTGTCGGGGACACATGAGTTCATTGATATGGAGAACGATTACTTTTTGTTTCGTTTTGCGGATTTGAATGACTACAACTTTGTTTTGGAGGAAGGGCCTTGGATTGTGGCAGACCATTATGTTTCTGTTCAACGGTGGCGGCCATTATTTGATCCTTACGAGGACAACCTTAAAAAATTAGCTGTTTGGATCCGTATTCCGGGGTTACCTATGGAGTTCTATACCTCCCAACATTTGCGGAACATAGGTGATCTATTTGGGAAAACACTGAAGATTGATAGGAACTCTATACGTAAAAGTGATGCTGGTGATGGGGTTGTTACGGAAAGGGCCAAGTTTGCGCGTATTTGCGTAGAAGTAGATCTCAGTAAAGGCTTCTTGTCTAAATTCAATCTCATTAATAAGGTTTATACGGTAGGGTATGAAGGCCTTCACATGATCTGCTTTGCATGTGGTAAGTATGGGCATAGGCGTGACACTTGTTCTTCGGTTTCAGTGTCAACCGATAGTCATTATCACCAAAAGGATGTTCGTGCAGAGGTTGTTAACAATGGTGTCAGGCGTGAGATGGCAGAAGGTGAAGCTTTTGGTTCTTGGATGATTGTCCAAAGGAGTCAACGGGGAAGGAAGGCAAAAGCTACCATGGAGACTGCCGCAATCAATGCTGCCGCAATCAATGCTACCGCAATCAATGCAGCCGGGAATCAGGGGTCATCCGTTACAACTGGCCAAAGGAGAATTAATGCTCAAGGAATAAATCATTCTGTTTCACGTCCAGCTAAAATCAAGCAGCAGAAACCCGATAATCATGTGGGAATTAAATCGGCTACAATGATTAATGCGAAAAATAACGGTTCTGGAGCTTCAAAGGTGGCGTCTTCAACGGCTGGATCAAGATTTTCAGTTATTTCTGACGAAGTTAATGATAATCATGATGTTAATTATGAGAATATTCAAATCATTAATGATAAGCATGGCCCCTCTAAGGTAACCGCTAGTGCTGATTTGAAAAAGGGTTTAAATAATAAGATTTAGAATTTTCCTCGTGATAAACGTCATCTTTCAGCAGCTATTCTCCCTAGCTCAAATACAGTTACAAATTTGGTGGGACCCTCTATGCCAAATCAAAATCTAAGTGGTTATGGGATCCTTTCTAATCCAGACGCGCTTTGGGCTAGAGTTTTAAAGAGCAAGTATAAAGTTCAGTCTGATTTGGTTCCTAATATTTCTGCTACTCGGAATAGCTCCTCTCTTTGGAAAGCAATTGTTTCGTCTTGGCCTGTGATATTACAGCATTCCAGAATTTTGCTAGGTAATGGAAATTCTACTCATTTTTGGGATGACCCGTGGGTTCCGGGTTGTGGTGCACTCTCATCCTATGCTGCTATTTCTGATCCCTCTCAGATAAATCATCAGCTAATGGTCTCTGATCTTGTCTCATCCTCCGGAAGTTGGATGTGGGGGGCTTTCCAGCATAGTCTTCCCGATCATGTCAATGCTCGTATTAATAACATCCTTCCTCCTTCGGATGTTAATGGTCATGACCGAATTTTGTGGACAAGGACATCTGATGGGAGTTTTTCGCTGAAGTCCGCTTATATGGCCATATCCAGGGGTAACGAGGAATCTACCAATTTACCTTGGAATCGCGTTTGGCAGTGGCATGGACCTGAACGGATTCGTACGTTCCTTTGGCTGTTGTTAGGAGATAAAATTTTGACAAATGAAAGGCGTTGCAGACGGCACATGGCGGGTTCAGATATATGTCATCTGTGCAATTGTTTTACGGAAACTTCCTTACATGCGGTTAGAGATTGTATTGCAGCAAAAAAAGTGTGGGAGATTGCAGTTAAGCGAGAGAGGCTTGGGAGGATTTTTTCTCTCTTAATCTTCAGCAATGGGTGTTGTCCAATATCTCTGAGGATCGTAATTGGTCCAATTTGCCATCATGGCCTCTTCTGTTTGGTATCATTTCCTGTTTCATTTGGCAAGCTAGGAATAAGAAAATTTTTCAGGGATATTCTGTTCCTGCTTATGGCACTTTTAGAGCTGCTATGGTCTATGGTGAAGATTTTTCTTGGTCAGAAAACACGCTTCGGGTTGCTGGTCTTGAGACTAACTCGAATAAAGAGAAATTAGTTTCTTGGGTTTTTCCTTCGGACCCTTGGGTTAAGCTCAATGTGGATGGGTCAAGTATGAATAATGGAGAAGCTTCTGCTTGTGGGGGTGTATTTAGGAATGCTAGTGGAAGGTGGCTTGTTGGCTTTTGTAAAAATCTTGGCTGTGGTAATGTTTTGTTAGCAGAACTTTGGGGTTGTCTCCTTGGGCTTGAGATTGCATGGAGGAAAGGTTTCCGTTTTGTCTGGCTTGAAGGTGATTCCTTAGTAGCCCAGTTTTTCATAAGAGAAGGGTGCAGCTCTCATCATCCAGCTTCTAACTTGGTCTTGCGCATAAGGAATATGCTGGATTGGAATTGGAGGGTTAGAATTTCCCATATTCATAGGGAAGGGAATGGGGTTGCCGATTGGATGGCCTCTTTTGCCTACTCCTTTGATTGGTCTTTACAAGAGTTTGACTCGCCTCCTTCTGGTTGTCGTGACAAACTTGAAAGGGACTATGTAGGAGTAGTTTGGTCTAGGAGGCATTCCTAGTTTCTTTTTTTGTTTTTATGTTTCCTGTTTGCTTTTCAAAATAACTACTTCCCACTCTCCACTACTACAAGGTACAGCCAAAACAAAAAAAGTGAAAAGGCCCATTCATTGAAAAAATGAATAATCTAGTCAATTACAAAAGGCCCAAAATAGTCTCCGATATTCTACGAACCTCTAAGCCCAAATTCATCTGGATCTTAATTTGGTCGCCGAAACAACATTAGGGTTTCCCGCACCAGTATATAACACCCCTTCTTATGGAGTTAGGCAATCACACTCACTTAACACTGAAGTTTAGGATCACAGTTCAGTTTCCCCCTTCTTCCTTCAAGTTGAGCCATTTTTTTGGTGTTATTATAGGTATATGTTATGTAAGTAATCATAGGAATTATGATAATGATCGGTTAGAAAAAAAAGAGAGTTGAATAAGGGAAGGCTCTATAATAAGAGTCAACAGCAGGGGCTTATTCTATGGCCACTTGACTGCCGCTTAGAGCCAAAATGAAAACACCAGATGAAGATCCTTGAAATCAAACTCCAATTGTTTCAAGACACAATTTCTGGTCATATTCTTTTTTTTTTATTTTTTTTTTCCTTAATTGTTTTGTGAATTGTCGGCACTGAAGTCAGACACGGGTGTTTGTTATCTCATCTCAAAACAAACTACCTTTTGCATTGTGCCTATATATAACTCAAGCTACTGGTTCACGATTGGAGGAAAAACCTTCACTTTTATGGTTTCCTTCAAATTTTAAGTAGCTATATTTCCTCTCTTTTCCCTTTTTTGTTTTTGTTTTTCACATGTTGTTCTTTTGATAATCGGTTATCCATGTCTCCTTTTAATTTTCAGATCGTTACCTGTTGTTTGCAGATTCCTGTTTTTAACACCATGCTTTGGAGGCTCGTCTGTCACTTCTTAGGGTATGTGATATTTCTCAGGGTTGGTTTTATCGAAGATTATATTAGGCTTGGAATTAAAAGTTTAGAAATATTTCAAACACTTGATACATACTTTTTCTATGAATTTTTTTTTGTTATTTTAAAAAAATAGTTAACTTTTTTGTTTATTATAAATCTGTTATTCTTAAATTTATTTAATTTTCAAATATTTTTATGAAGTTTCATAAAAATTCTGGGACTTCAATGTTATTTCATATTTTCATAAAACCGTCCACTCTTTTATAACACTGTAATATATGTTGTAGACAGATTTTTTTTTTTTTTTTAGGAAATTTATTAGTAATGTTTATATGAAAAAAAAAAAATTACTTTCCCATGTTTTATTTTATACCAAAATATTGTTTTACTTTATACAAAAAAATTGTTTTATTTTATACA